AAGGATCACAAGTTTGAGGCCAGCCCAACTCTACAAACTTAGCATGAAACCTTACTTGAAAAATGAAATAAAGCAATAGGGCTGGAGGCATAGCTCAAAGGGCAGAGTGCACACCTAGTGGATTTGAGTCCCCACTACTACAATAACAAAAATAAAAATTAAAGACTTAAATATAAAAGTCAAATCTATGGGGGTGGCAGAGTGGCTCAGATGTTAGAGCATCTGCCTATCAAGCATGAGAGCCTGAGTTCAAACATCAGTATTCAAAACTATAAAACTCTCACAGGAAAACAGAAATTTAAATTTTAATGACCTTGGATAAGCAGTGGTATTTTTTTAGCAATAACACCAAAAGCATAAACAGCATCAAAAATAAACGGAACATGATTAAAATTAAAAACTTGTGCTTCAAAGGATACTGCTGAAAATAAGAAAAATCAACAAAATGGGAGAAATTTTGTGCAAATCATGTATCTGATAAGGGACTTATATCTAGAATATATAAAGAACTATACAACTCAATAACAAAAAGAACCCAACTTTTTTTTTTCATTTTTCTTTTATTATTCATATGTGCATACAAGGCTTGGTTCATTTCTCCCCCCTGCCCCCACCCCCCTCCCTTACCACTCACTCTGCCCCCTCCCTCTCCCCCGCCCCTCAATACCCAGCAGAAACTATTTTGCCCTTATCTCTAATTTTGTTGTAGAGAGAGTATAAGCAATAATAGGAAGGAACAAGGGTTTTTGCTGGTTGAGATAAGGATAGCTATACAGGGCATTGACTCACATTGATTTCCTGTGCATGTGTGTTACCTTCTAGGTTAATTCTTTTTGATCTAACCTTTTCTCTAGTACCTGTTCCCCTTTTCCTATTGGCCTCAGTTGCTTTAAGGTATCTGCTTTAGTTTCTCTGCGTTAAGGGCAACAAATGCTAGCTAGTTTTTTAGGTGTCTTACCTATCCTCACCCCTTCTTTGTGTGCTCTCACTTTTATCATGTGATCATAGTCCAATCCCCTTGTTGTGTTTGCCCTTGATCTAATGTCCACATATGAGGGAGAACATACGATTTTTGGTCTTTTGGGCCAGGCTAACCTCACTCAGAATGATGTTCTCCAATTCCATCCATTTACCAGCGAATGATAACATTTCGAAGAACCCAACTTTAAAATGGGGAAAAGATCTGAATAGACAGTTTTCCAAAGAAGATATACAAACATACTCAAGCACCATTAACCTTCAGGAAGTAGAACTCAAAATCACAATCAGATACCAATATATATCTACTAGAATGGCTATAAACAAAAGACAAACAAGTGTGGGCAAGAATAGGAAAAAACTGAAACATCCATACACAGCTGATGGGAATACAGAATACTGCAGTAGCTTTGGAAAACAGTCTGGCATTTCCTTTAACAGTTAAACACAGAATTACCATATGATCCAGCAATTCTACTCCTAGGTACACACCCAAGAGAAACATACAAAAACCTATGCCCAGACATAAACTTGTACAAAAATTTTTTACAATAGCATTCACAAGCTAAAAACTAGAAATAAGCCAAATGCCAACCAATTGATGAATGGATTAAAAAAATGTTGCATGTATTATAAGCACATATGTAAATGTCACAATGAATCCCCCCTGTACCACTATTATATGCTAAGAAAAAAGGAAAGAAAAAAATGTTACATATACATGTGATGGAATGTTATTTGGAAATAAAAAATAAAGTACTGACATGCTACAGCATGGATGAACTTTGGATAAGTATGCCAAACTAGTTACAAAAGGCCAAATATTGTTGTAATTTAATTAATACATAATGTGCAGAAGAAGTAAAACTACAGACAGAAATTACATTAGTGGTTACCTAGGACTGAGAAGGGGAGTAAGGAAGTGTGTTATTCAGCTGTCAATATAACAAAATACCTAAGACAAACAACTTATAAAGAGAAAAGTGTTCTGGAGGTTCTAATCCAAGATCAAGTGACCCTACTGCTTTGGGCCTCTGGCAAGTACAGCATATCATAGTGAGAGTACAGCAAGAAGACAGAGCAGGGTCCCACAATCCCTTTCTGGGGCACACCCCAATGACCTCTCACTAGGCCCCACCCCCTACAGGTTCTACCACCTCCTAAGAGTGCCACCCTGGGGATCAAGACTTTAACATAACACATGGACCTTGGGGGAATTCATACAAACCATAGCTGGGGATGTCTTAGTCCATTTTGTGCTGCTGTAAAAGAATACCACAGACTGAGTAAATAATAATGAACAGAAATTTATTTGATTCACAATTCTGAACAGTGAAAAGTCCAAGATCATGGGTAAACAGCTTGCTGTCTCATGACATGGCAGAAGGCATCACATAGGCAATAAAAAGAAAAAAGGGGTCTGAACCCCTGCTTTTATAAGGAACCCACTCCCAGGATAATGGCATTTATCTATCCACTCTGACTTCATGGCTATTTACCTCTATTAGACCCAATTCACAACACTGTTGCATTGGGGACCAAGTTTCTCACAGGTGGACTTTGAATACATTCAAACCACACCTAGGGATGTTGTTGGCTAAGAGGTACAGGGTTTCTCTTTGGGATAAAGAAAATGTTCTAAAAATTGAAGTGTTAGATGCATAACTCTATGAATATACTAAACTACTGAAGTGCACACTTAATTGTATAGTAAATGAGTTATAACTAAATAAAGCTATTTTTAAAACCAAGGCAATAATTGCTATTTTAAAAAAGGCATACACCAAAGTAATTAATTACAGAATCTGAAAGTATGGCAAAGGGGTAAGGAAAACTCCTTAAGAACTCACATGAGTTGGGGGACAGGAGTAGTGACACACACCTGTAATACTATCTACACAGAGGAGGAAATCAGGAGGACTATTGGTGGAGGCCAGCCCAGACAAAAAGTTAGCAGGTCCTCATCTCAATTATTAGGCACCTATCATTCCAACTACATGGGAGGCATAGGCAGAAGTGGTCCAAGACCAGCCCAGGCAAAAATGTGAGACCCTACCTGAATAAATAACTAAAGCAAAGAAGGGATGGGGGCATAGTGCAAGTGGCAGAGTGCCTGTCTGACAAGTGTGAGGCCCTGAGTTCAAACTCTAGTACTGCCAAAAAGAAGAAAAAGAGAAAGATTATCACAGAAGTTAGGTTAGGGATGTAACACATTAGAACTCTTGCCCAGCATACAATAGGTCCTGGCTTCAATCTCCAGCACCACAAAAAAAAAAAAAGAAAGAAAAATCTTTAAAAAGATGCAAAGTCTGGCTGAAAGTCTTGCCAACAGAACAGAGACAATTGTTTCAGATGAAATTAAAAGTACAGACACATGCACAGACATGGAGGAGAATGACTACACCTCAGAAAAAAAAAAAAAATATATATATATATATGTACATATTTTGTGGTACTGGGGTTTGAACTCAGGGCCTATACCTTGAGCCACTCTGCCACTCCACCACTCCACCAGCCCTTTTCTGTGTTGGGATTTTTCGAGATAGGGTCTCACGAAGTATTGCCTGATCTCGCCTCCTAAGTAGCCACCAGCACCTACCCCAGAAACTCTTTTAGAAGTAACTGAAGATTCTGTTGGAGATGGAAGCAAAGGCAAATTTATCAAGAGCATGAATGCTCAAATGTATTTTTTTTTCCCTATAAGCAATGGGAAGTTAAAAAGGGGGGGAGGGGGAGTTTTGGAGATAAAATTATCAAATGTCCATCACACACAGTTCCTGTCCACAGAAACTGCTTTAATAGTTTAGAGTAGAAAAAGGTAAGAGTTGGGAGGTTAATTAGCAAGATATTAAACTAATTTAAGAAAAAAATTATAAAGACCTCAACTAAACCAAAAGCAAAAAGCACAAAGAGGAAGAGAAGGGTTTGAGACAACAGAAAAAGAAAAGTTAATGACTAACTGTACAGAGAAAAAACTAATAAATGAAACTTGGGAGTTGATGCAAACTTCAGATGGTAATTTGTTAGTAACCAAGATAGTATGGAGCCATGAAAATGAATGACATTATACAGGAAAACCTTAGAAAGGAGGTGGAGAAAAAAAAGATAAAATACTGTGGAACAGTTTTCTTCCAAACTGTCCTTATGCAGTAACTTGACATTAGTAAAATCCACAATTATTATAATTATTACACAAGGGAATTTAATAATTTTTACTATTTAATGAAAAAACTGAGGTAGCTCTGAAAAGGGGAAAAGTAATTAATTTCAGGTTTATTTAATCTTTTCAATGAGAAATGTTTAAAAGGTTTAAAGGCAACCCAGTACAATAATAAAAAGAGGAAAAATAACACAGCCTGAGCTCAATAATACATAAATTTAACATATTATTCATTTCAACCTCACCAACAACCCTGTGAGGTAAGCATTCTCTTTCCTAGAGAGTGACACACAAGATTAGTAATTTGCCCAAAGCTGTTATGACTACTACAAAGCCAGAGTAGGACTCAAAAATTAGTAAAGTTCCAGGGCCCAGATTTTTAACCACTGTATTGCCTGCCTCTCAAAGCAAAGAATATTTTTTTTTTTTTTTGACAGTGCTGTGGTTTAAACGTTTGCCAAGTAGGCACTCTATCACTTGAGCCACTCCACCAACCCTTTTGTGTGTGTGTTTTGAGTATTTGTTGAGATAGGTCTCAATAAAATTTTGCCTGGGCTGACCTAGATCCTCCTGATCTCTTCCTGAGTAGCTAGGATTAGGGGTGTGAGCCACGGTGCCTGGCAAGAATTTGATTTTTTATTTAACCTTTTATATTTTTAATAGATCTCTCTGAAGAATCAAGATAGCAAATTATTTTAGATTCATCAAGACTGTATGTTCTTTATATTTAGATCTTTAATGATGTGCAACATAATACAAAACAAACTAAAGAGACTGACTTCTGTGCCTAGATGTTACTCAGTGTTATGCTAAAGCAGAACTGGAGGAGGCTGTTCACATAGAATGGGGTTGGTTTCGGGCAACTAAGTTATGGCCTGTTTTCTCACCTGATCCATGTGCTGGTAAAGGGCCCACGATTATTCAAACTGACAAGTTTCTTAGAGCAGGGCTCTAAAGTCTTGGGCAGCAGAGAACTGTACTCCAAACCAAGCAGAAAGAAACAGACTAGAAATGGAAGCATGGGAATTGCCTAGCAGAAGAGGCAAACTCGGCCCCACGGGGAAAAAGGCATCCTTTTGCACCTCAGAGACACTGCAGAACCAGTGTAACACTAACAGACTGTTAGGGGGAGGTGAGGAACCCTGGAAGAACCTTTCACTTGCATTCAATTTGGACTGGAGTTCAGTCTACCTGTGCAGGTAGAGTGGGAAGCATCTTGCCCCAAAGCAGCACGGATTCTGGCCCTCCATTTTACTCCTGACTACTCTTGGCAGCTAGGCCAGTTTTTGGCTAGGGACAGAGAGGCCCCGAAAGACCCAAGTATTCTTTCTGGATGGTCAAGATGGGAAGGACATGTCTCAAAATAGAAATATATTCAATATGGAAGGAGTCAGGACAGGTTTGGCCATTCATTCACATCTCCAAATCTTCCCCCATTTCTCCCCAGCTCAGGGTCTAGACTCACACAGACTGGCAAGCACAGTTTCTACACCTGACCTCTAACCACCAAAAGAAAAATCTAGAAGTGTGCCCTTTCTCCTTCCCCACAGGTGAGCTCTCAGGGCTTCTGGGGGATAGTGGTCCTGTGGCAGGGCCTGGTCTCAGCTGGCTACAGCCCAGGCCATGATGTCTTCCAAAGCACTGTTCTGGTCATTGTTGTATAATAGTAAAACTTCCTTAATGTCTTTCAGTTCAAAGCCCATTCCCCTAAATTTGCTAATTAACTGAAGAAACTCTATCATCTCTTCTTCTGAACTCTGGTGCATATCCACACCCTCTTCCACTAAAAGAGGGTCGAAGCCCTTCTCACAAAGCTGTCCGTTTGCAAAGAGATAGGTCAAGAATCTACTCAATATTGTCTCTTTTCTTCTTCATGGTTCTCTAGACACACTTATATTAGTAGCCCATGTTGACCACTGTCTCTACACACTGCTACTCACTGGGGGACAGTGTCTACAATTCAGAATAGACCTGGGGACAGCTAAGCATGTTGGGCACCTGGAACATTGAGAAATTCAGAGGAGTGACTTTTGGACCTGTATTTGGAGGTGATAATTCTTCTGTGCACACAGACAGCAAAGATATCTGGGAGTGTGGCAAGGTTGCCACTTCTGTGCCACTGTCCAAGTTCAAAGCTGAAAGTCAAAGAATATAGTCCTCACTGAGCTCACTGGCCCAGCTTTGGGTGAAAGGCTGTAAGAAATTCTAGGATGTGCCACTGAAGAGGCAGGATGTGCTATGGAAACTGCTTGCCAGCTTGACTGTCTTCTGATTGCTGTCATCACAGTCAAGTCTGGCAAAGGAAGAGATTTGATATTGCTTACTGCAGGGATGGGGGGAGGGACACTTTGGAAGACAACATTTTTTCACAGTTGCCCAACTGTGGTAAGATTATAAAGCAATTGGGTTTATGAAGAGGCTTGAAATCTAAGGTTGCATGCTCCAAGGATGCTTAGACCTCCTCATCCTGTGACACAGACCTAGAGTCTCCTCTGAGACATTACTGTCCAATAACTGGGCCAAAATGGCCCCAGTGGTTCCTACCAGAATGTTTCTCAGCTCTTCTTTGTCATCAATAGTTCTTAACTCCAGATTATCAAATGGGTCCTCTTTATACTCAACGTCAGCAGGACTAAAATCTGCTTTTGTGTGGGGTAGGCTGAGAACTGTTTCATGGCACTACTGCTGACCCAAGTTGGAGTGAGAATACTATTGTACTGTAAGCTAGCTAGGCTAGGGTTAATAGGAAGTGACACTGTTGCTGTACTTTGAGTCTTGGAGAAGCTCATTTTGCTATCACCCTCTGGGCCACTCATAGAATTCACTTTAGCTTCTGCTTCCTCAGGCTTATCCTCTACTTCTCGCTGGGCTTCTTGGATTTTTTTAGTATCTAACAGTTTTCTTTTCCAAGGAGAAGTCATACATGAAAATCTGTACCCAACTTCTTAGAAGCCATTTAGGTCCTGAATGTCGCTGCCAACACAAAAGCTGAAAGGTGCTGATACCACTGGTCTCCCAAGCACCATCCCCAATGAGTTCCTGATGTCTCTAAGGAAACCAAATGCCACCTCTTCCAACTTTACCCATCCCAGACCAGGCCATCATCATAGCCACCACCAGTATTAAAGCCACCATGGTGAAGTCCTACTTCCCTCCTCCTTCCCTTTGTGAGATGCCCAAAGGCATCTCACAAATTTAATTTTTAATGGAAAAAAATTTTTTGGTTCAATGTTGAGTCTATCACCAGCTTTAATATATTGGTAACTTAAGTACTCTGTCTCCTCAACTACAAGGAATTAAAGCATTACAGAATTACTATGAGTATTTAGTCATAAATGTAAAACACCTAATTATTATTGTTGAGTAATAATCATACTAATATTTATAAAGCACTTACTTGCATACATCCAGACATTACAACAGTCCCCGCATATTGGCAGGGGCTGAGTATGAAGACCCCAGTGGATGCATTAAACCACAGACAGTACCAAACCCTACATATACTATGAGTTTTCCTGTCATACACATAACTTTAATTTATAAATTAGGCACTATAAGTTAACAAGTTATTAACATAGATCTTAGCAACCTCAGAATATGATTTTCCCTTAGCCAAGAATTTTCACCTTTTCCTTTAAGGGAAGCATGCATAGCTTCTCTTTGGAATATCAGAATGCCAGCATCAATACTCTTGCACTTTGAAGCCATTATTAAGTAAAATAAGGACTGCTTGAACAAAAGCACAGTGATGTCATGAAAGTCAATTTGGTAACTGAGATGCTTACTAAATGACTAACAAACAGATATCATATATATCAAGGAAATGCTGGACTCATGTCACAAGTGAGGTAATGTAAAATTTCATCACACTATTCAGAACAGTGTACATTTTAAAAGTTATGAGTTGTTTATTTCTGGAAATTTTCATTTAATATTTTTGGCCTGTGATTGACCAAAGGTAACTGAAACCACAGAAAGAAAGACCTCCAAAAAGGAAAAGCGAATGTATACCGTGAGCACACAGATATTTAATCCTTAAAATCATCTTTAAAAAGTATCATTACTTTCCTAGTTATTTAAAAGGCTAGGAAACAGGTTTTTTTGTTGTTGTCTTTGCTGTTGCTTGAGACAGGGTCTCGCTATATAGTCCAGGCTGGCCTGGAACTCATGATTCTCCTGTCTCAGCCTCCCAAGCTCTGGTATTACAGATGTGCGCCACCACATCTGTCTAGGAAACAGATTCTGGCAATGGAGAGATTTGTGCATGATCACCCTATATGGCAAAAGGATTATAATAATGCCATCAATTCTACACAGTTCCTTGTATCCATATCCCTTTCAATGTGACAATGTAGCTTCTCTTCCTTCAAAATGATTTACCCACATATGAATTTTGTCTGGTCCCAAGACTTGCCTTGGCCAATAGAAAACTGACACTGTGTAGCTCCCAACATTCACAGAAATAGATTTTGCAGGTTTCCACTCTCTGTCTTGGAATCCTGCCAACCACATGAACAAACCCAGGTTAATCTGATAAATGATGTGATGTGCCTCAGTAATGCTCCATTTTCCAGCACAGAACCAGCCAATCCACCAGAAATGTGAAGAGCTACTCCAGACCAGGTAGCCCCCAACCAACTGACCAGGTTACCACATATATATGAGCAGCACTTGATTTCATCAACCCAGCTGAAATTAGCCCAATATAGCCCCATTATCAGAAGCACCTATCTGATCCACAGTTTCATGACCAATAATATATAGTCATTGTTTTAAGTGACTAGATTTGGGATAGGGGATGGTTGCTACAGAGCAATAACTATTCAAAACAATGGTTAGTGGAAGAAGTGGGATGTAAAGAAAGGCATTCTGATTAGAAGCACACCATCCTAATCATGATTTTATATAACTTCCAGTGTCAGAGTTAAATGTGACATTGACATACAAAGCTACTGTATTTTCCTTTCTGAAAAAAAGATTTTATCCTCAGTGTTCTATATTAATTTAAGATTTATTTAGAAATCCCCAAAATGTATAGTTATTTCCTCCTTTAGGCAAACAAAATAGAATTGAAAATACATATAGAATACTCAACTGCTTACAGCCACCTGTCTACTAATTTATTCTGTATTTTCCTGATTATTAACAATTCTTTCAATGTTAAGTAAATATTTCTGAATTAGGTACAATTAACAAGTATTATTAAATGTACCTATACTGATTTGCATTAACTCATTCTCAAACTGCTGTCTTTGCTTAATTCACTATATCATCGCTATATCATCTGTCGGCCTACATGTATCTATGTCCCATATACTGTCTCTTCCTCATATAAGAACTTGTCAGCACTCCTAATTAAAGCTAACTCTTACACTAAAGTCAGTCCTTTCCTCCTCCCACACCTTGTTCCAGCAATTCTGTTATCACTCTCTTTGTTTTCATTGGGTTTTATCCCCATAATTTATTAGCTTATTTCCATCAGCATATAAATACATCATTTGTTTCTTTTTTTCTTTTGTTTCCCGTCCACACTCGCTGTTAATCTAGAGACCTTAGTTCCCAAAGAAGCAATGTTTTCACCAAGGGATACAGCAATGGTGCCATTAAACTGCCCTTCAACCACTTTGGGGTAGCCATCTCAATGACTCAGCCAACAGGGGCTGGCAGAGTGGCTCAAGCAGTAGAGTACCTGCCTAGCAAATATGAGCCCTGAGTTTAAACCCCAGTACCGCAAAAAATTAAATTAAATTAAATGAAAAATAAATCAGCCAACAAAGAAGAGGGTTACAGAACTGATGAGGGAAACTAATCTTATTATCAAAGGGAAACTGGCTTGCTACTGCACAAGAAAGCCAGCAAAAAAAATGTATGGAATGGAGGAGATCCTCTGAGATGCTATTTATTCTTTCCATGTACTAAGACTAAAGTCAGTGAAAACAACCCAAGCAAACTGCATAGCCTAGACCCCTAAAGAAAGTTTAGGTCACCCCATCAAGCAAGAAATCACAATCAGATAAGGAACTTGCCAAGGACAGGGGGATTATGGCACGACAGTGGAAGAAGGCAAGTACGCAACCATAGCCACTTAACTAGCTGCAGAAATAAGAACCCTAATGTGCTTATTTGCTTTAATATAAAGAGTATGCACACATTAACTTACTTTTATCTCCCTTTCTACATTCACCTAATAGTAGCTAACCTCATGACACAGCATTAATAAATTACAAGATAGTATGTAAAATGTAACTTAAGAGAAATTATCCAACAATGGAGAAGGGATTTTGTATCCTCTTAGGAGCCTCTGGTATGTTATCTGAACAACAGACACTTGCGTTACCCACAGCAAAAGTATAATTTTGCAATTGTCTTTCAAGTTAAATAAGATTAAATATGATTAAAGCGGTATCTATTCATGCCAGTGACAAGAAATGAATTGTAAAAGCCCTATACTCTATTGAAGTGCCTAGGCTGCAACTACATTTCTCCAAATTTTCTTTCTTGTATGACTGTGGGTAAGGGTTAGCCTTAAAAGAAATTCCCGTAAGATTTAGAAGACAAAAGTGAAGCAGCAGTCACTCTTCTGTTCAGGTCAACATAAAAGGTCAGGCATTGTAGCAGACAGGTCTTTTGGCTCACATTTGTTAGACAGCTTCTCCAGCTCCTGGCACATCTCCTTTAACTTCTCTAGATAATACTGGGCCAGAAAAGTGTTCCAGGCCTGTTGTAAGCTACCTAAATTATCAAAGTTGCTCATTGGGCTCATAAGTCAGCTCATTTCCATGACTTCCAAATCTTTGCAGATTCCAGTTTAACCACCCTCTGGCCCACTTCATGTGGTACATTTCACCTATCTTTCCTTCCCGATTGCCAATCCTATGACTTCAAGTCTATCACCAGACTCAGGAGAGTACAACCAATTCCTACATTTGGTAAAAATCAATCAATAAATTTCCCATATGTTCACAACAATTTGATTCTCTGAGCAAAGTCTAATTAACAGAGAAGAAAACGTAATTTATGGTTAGACTACTGTAAGAGCTGACTATATCCACCTGTCACGTCTCATACCTCATATAACTCTTACCAAACAGAGAAGTCAAATATCACATAATTGTAGTAATCATGCTCCTCACTTACCTTTTATCAGCTAAACTACTTAAGGATTTGGGCTGGAGGTGTGGCTCAAGCCATAGAGCGCCTGCTTTAGAAGCATGAAGCCTTGAGTTCAAACTCCAGTACCACCAAAAAAAACCACCAAAGAATGATTTAAAGGCAGAGGAAAGTAACAAAGAGCAAACAGAAACCGGAGATTTGACCATGGAAAGAAGGGTAATATGTAGTGGAGGTAATTCAAATTCATCTCCAAAATAAACTGAAAGGGAGAAAAAAGGAAGAAGGTGAGGGGGAGGGAAGGAAGAAAGAAAGACACAGTCACATGGGAAATCTCAGCAGATAAATGGAAAAATTTTTAAATGAAATACTAGAAGTGGGACTGGGTGTGTGGTTCAACTGGTAGAGCACCTGCCTAGCAAGCTTGAGTTCCGAGTTCAAACCCGAGAACTGACAAAAAAAAAAATACTAGAACTGAACAATTACATCACTTGAGAATGGGTTTAACAGTGTATCAGAGATAACATTTAAAAGTGATCTTAAGCCAAGCACTGGCGGCTCATGCCTGTAATCCTAGCTACCCAATATGCAGAGATCAGGAGGATCTCAGTTCAAGACCAGCTGTGGCAAATAGTTCTCAAGACCCTATCTCAAAAGATGCCCAACCCAGAAAAGGGCTGGTAGAGTGGCACAAGTGGTAGAGCACCTGTCTAGCACACAAGGCCTAAGTTCAAACCCCAGTACCACCAAAAATAAATAAAAACAAAAGTGATCCTAAAGACAGGTCAGTAGAAATGACTCAATCTGAAAAACTG